AGGTGATGAGTAACCATTAACTGCCTGTTTTCCTTATCCTTCTCTCACATCCACTTTGAGGTACAGCTTGGGCCCTGAAGCTGGAAGGCCCGGTGTGGGAAGCCCGGCTCCAGCACGAAGTGGTAACAGCCATGTGACTCGAGAAGCCACCTGCCCCCTCAACCTCCTATCTCCTATCCATCGAGGAGAGTAATGGTAACCCACCTAAGAGGAACAGCAAGGGGCCACATAAGGTAATTCACACATGAAGTGCTCTTAGCAAAGTTTCAGGTACACAGTTGGTGCTCAATAATTGTGAGCTATTATTATTATCATTATTCTAGGCAGTCGATGCTGAGCTAGCTTCCTCACATGGCTGGGTTCATGTCTCTTGCCTTCAGTGGACCCTGAAAAGTCTTCCCATCTTATTTCTGTCCGGAGATAATCAACCAAAAGGCACAGGGTGGGGACCACGTGAAACTCCAGTTTCTCCTCCATGTCGCTCACCCATCTGTTTACAGAGCCCTACTCTGCGCGACACCGCCATGCTAGGTCTTGCAGACAAACTGGGGGACAAAACGGATGTTCTGTATATGGGAAGACAGAAGTGAACCTAATAATCACACAAACAGGTAATCCCAAAGTGTCACAGTGCTATGAAGGAGCAGGTTCAGGGATCTAGAAGGGACTTTTGAGTAGAGGCCCCAACGACGAGCATTTGGGGCCACCCCCTGACCACAGCAGCCCAGGCTGGGGAGGAGCTCGGACTGAAGTCAGTGTAGATGCACCCGCAGCCCTTGCTCTTAAACTGTGCAATTTGAGAAGTTGTTATACCCATATCCCTGTGAAAACATCACTGCAGTCAAGATAGTGAACATTCTCTCACCCCCAGGAATTGCAAGCCCTGATCTGCTTTTTGTCACCTTCCATTTTCTAGACTTTCTGTAAATGGAATTGTAAGGCACACTCTTTTGGAGTATGGTTTCTTCCACTTAGGATAATTGTTAACTATTTTAAGATTCATTTATGTTGTCTGTTTCAATTCAGTTGACGCTTGAATGACGCGGGCATTAGGAGTGCTGACCTTTATGCCGTCAAAAATCTGCATAGAACTTTTGACTCCCCGAAAACTTTACAAACAGCCTACTGTTGAACAGAAGGCTTACCAGTAACATAAAGTCAATTAACACACATTTTGTATATGTATTCTACACTGTATTCTTACAACAAAGTAAGCTGGAGAAAAGAAAATGTTAAGAAAATCATAAGGGGGGGGGCACCTGGGTGGCTCAGTCGGTTAAGCGTCTGCCTTCAGCTCAGGTCATGATCCCAGGGTCCTGGGATCGAGGCCCACCTAGGGCTCTGGGCTCAGTGGGGAGCCTTCTTCTCCTTTGCCCTCTGCCTGCCACTCTCCTGCTTATGTGCTCCCTCTCTCTCTGTCAAATAAATAAATAAGATCTTAAAAAATTAAAAAAATCGTAAGGAAGAGAAAATACATTGACAATTCTGTGCCGTTATTTATTGGAAAAACATCATGTATAAGTGGACCCGCGCAGCTCAAACCTGTGTGGTTCAAGGGTCAACTATAGTTCACCCCTTTACATTGCTGAGTTGTATTCTGTTGCATGCAGATACCGAAATTTATATCTCTGTTCACCTATTCATGGAAATTTGGGTGATTTCCAGTTTATGGATATTACAAATAAAGCTGTATGAACCTTCACACAAGAGTCTTCACATGGACGTGAGTTATCACTCCTCCTGGGTGGACGCCTATGGGTGGGAGGACTGGACCCCATGGCTGGCATATGCTTCACCTTTTAAAAAACCGCCAAACTGGCTTCCAAAGTGGGTGATACCATTTACATTCCCATCGGAAGCATGTGAGTTCTGGGTCTCCTGCAGCTCTGCCCACACACGGTATGTGGTGTGGTCTGGCCTTTCCATGTTGGCCACCATCACCCACGTGTGTGGCATCTCACTGTGGTTTTCATTCCTAAAGATTAACGATGCTGAGCATTTTTTCAGGAATCTATTTGCTATCGGTAGGTCTTCTTTGGCAAAGGGTGTTTAAATCTTTTGGCCGTTTATTAATCAAAAAAGAGTTTAATACATCTGCTCTTTACAAAGGTGTGGGTAGGGTTTAGGGAAGGCAACCAGGGGTGGAGAAGCTTCCTCAGGCTGCGAGCTGTTATCCCCCTGGCTTGGGTTACTCGTAATTATTCTCCCTTGACAGAAAGCTGTCTGTGGGGGGCTGCCCACGATGGGACCCGTGAGTTTAGAACCGTTTCCCACATCTGTGAAAGGGGATGGTAGTAATAACAGTACCTACTTCACGGAGTTGTGCAGATTCAATGAGCTTATGTGTATAAAGCACTCAGACAGCACTGACCTGAAAGATGTCTCCATCCTGATCCCCCAAAGCTGTGAATGTCCCCTTCCAGGGCAAAGAGCACTATGGATCTTGGGATGGGGAGATTATCCTGGATTCTCTGGGTGGGTTCAATGTCATCACGAGGGTCCTCATGAGGTGGAGGCAGAAGTTTCAGGGTTAAAGAGGTGATGATAGAAGCAGAGGTCAGAGAGAGAACAGAGAGAAGGACTCAACCTGCCGGTACTGATTGAAGACGGAGGAAGAACACAGCCCTGCCAACACTGTGACGTTGACCCAGTGAAATCCATTTTGGAATTCTGACCTCCAGAACCATAAGACAACAAATTTATGTGGTGGTTTGTTACAGCTGCCATAGACTCATATACTAGAGGAAGAAATACCTCTGCCTCTCTGTCCTTTCAGGCTTCCCATTGGCTGAACCCAGCTGGAAGCCGGGGGCTGCAGGAGCCTATTTGTATAGTTCACCCAGGTCAGCCTGGGTGGGAAAGGACACTGTGGACCGTGTCTCCGGAAGGGCCAGAGGAAGACATCCAGCACAAGTATTATCCTCATTTTACAGATGGGGAAACTGAGGCACGAGAGGGTAGGTAAGCCATCCAAGGTCACACAGCTAGGAAGGGGTATAGCTGGGACCTGAATGTCAACATGCCCAATGCTAAAGTTGACATGTCTAACCATCGGGCCACACTGCTTCCCGTTGTCAAATCCCTGCTGCCGACCTGGTACTTGGCGTGAGCTCAGCGGGCAAAGGGTAATGGTGATGGTGGTCTCAGAGGGGCACGTGGGGAGGCATCTCAGGACTTCCTGAGATCTGTTGTTTCCCTTTGGTCTTTCTTCTCCGTGTCTCTTTTCTTTCTTTCTTTTTTTTTTTTTTTTAAGATTTTATTTATTTATTTGACAGAGAGAGACACAGCGAGAGAGGGAACACAAGCAGGGGGAGTGGGAGAGGGAGAAGCAGGCTCCCCGCTGAGCATGGAGCCCGATGTGGGGCTCGATCCCAGGACTCCGGGATCATGACCTGAGCCGAAGGCAGACGCCCAATGACTGAGCCACCCAGGCACCCCTCCGTGTCTCTTTTCTGTCTTTATGCCATTTTAGACCCCCTGGCACTGCCCCTGGGCATCAGACCTGGGCCTTCACCTAAGAAAACCACAGTAACCTAGGATTTTGGTTCAGCTGAATAAACCACGTGGTGGGGGAGTGAAGGTGAGACGCGGGGGGGACAAAATCGGACCCAGACCGCCCTGATGTGAAATAATAAAAAATTATCTCTACTGGTCTCTGCCTCCGGTCGCTGAAAATGAGCTCCTAAATCCCTCGGAATTTCCTGGAGTATCTTTGGTTCTAATGAGTTGACTCCTGGTGGGCTCCTGGATGGGGGCTGGTCACCAGAAAAACCAAGCCATGATCAGAAGCTTGGGACTTTCAGCCCTATCTCCCTTATTCCAGAGAGGGGAGAGGGGCTGGAAATGCACTTAATGATCAATCATGCCTATGTGATACAGCCTCCATAAAAATCCCAATAGTGCTGGGTTCTGAGAACTTTGGGGTTGGTGAACACGTCCACATGCGGGGAGGGTGCTGTACCCCAACTCCATGGGGACAGAAGCTCCTGTGCCCAGGACCCTTCCAGACCTCACCTTATGTGCCTCTTCATGTGGCTAATCCTCAGTATCTTTTATCATAGCCTTTATGATATGATAAGCAGGTAAATGAAAGTTAAGTGTTTCCCTGAGTTCTGTGAGCTATTCTAGCAAATGACTGAACCCAGCTGGTGTCGGAGCATTGCCTGATGTGTGGGAAGCCCACACATGTGGTGTCAGAAGTATTGAGTGTGTGAGTAAAGAAGGGACACAGCAGTGTTTTCCCGATGCACTTGGCCAATGGCTTTGGGCACTCAAGATGGATGGCCAGTTCCAACCTGCTTTCCTGCCAGCCAAGGCCTGTGATGAATTCTGGGCTGTCTGAAGCTGAAAAGATGGACTGCTCTTACAGAATGGAAAGCAGGAGTCTTCAGAAATTCTTGAGTGCATCTCCCTCCGTCCAGATTCCCTGCTTCGAGTGTTTTTGCAGAGGCACTGGCATTAATTAACCCCTAAAGATGATGCCTTTTCCCAACTCTGCTCAGTCCTCTGAATTACAACAGCTATCTACCCCAACACCTACCAGCAGGCCTTTCCTGCAGGCAAAGCACCCCTGCCACCACACCCCAACCTGTGTCCACGGCAGACATCCCTAATCGATCATGGAGTTTGTTTCTTCTGAGCCCCAGTACCCTTCTCTTTAAAAAACAATGCTCCTGAAGTCACAAAGAGTTGAAACCTATGAAAGCCATTCTTCCCTGGGAGAAGCAGGACTCAGGGCATGGCAACGTGCTTTTCTTCTTTCTCAGGTGACATTTAGATGAAAATTGCATGAAGGGCAGTTTCGAACAATGAAACTCAGAAGTGCCCTTGCGGAGTAGAGGACGGTGGTGATAACAAAGAACATGCTCAGACTCGGGGAACTGTAAGAGGTGGGTGACATATGGTGGCATCAGCTCTGCCCACACCTACTCTTAAGGTGCCCCGAATACCCTGCATGATCGGCGTGACTGGGGCTACCTGTGGCCACAGCCAGTGCCTACCTTGGACTTGACAGCCAGGATGATCTTGGGCAGGGCCACGACAAGGCACTTGAGGGCAATGGTGACATACTTAAGCACAAAATCAGCGATGCCCACAATCCACAGCAGGTCGAAAAAGTCCAGCGTCTCCAGGTTGGGCTTCAGGAATATGAGGCTGGGGGAGAAGGGGAGATGGTTCAGAGAGTCCAGATGCTCACTTAGGATCCCTGGCCCTTCTGGGAGCCTTGTAAGTATTACCTGTAGACAGAGCCCTGAACTGGGGATCAGACATCTGTGTCCTCTTTCTGAATCTGCTACTAACTTGCTGTGTGACTTCAGGTGGGTGTCTTAACCTCTCTGAGCCTCAGTTCCCCTGAGAGCTATGCAAGGAGATTGGCCAGGAGCCTCATTAGTTAAGGTGTCTTCCAGTTTTATGAGTCCACAATAGGCTTCCATAGAGGCAGCAAAAGGGAGGGAGGCAAGTAGGCTGGCCAACACTATATAGGGAGGAGGGAAACTGATGTACGGACACCTCTGTTTACTGTATCTCATTGTCCTGCACAGTGAGCATTGCTTATTCCCACTTTATAACTGAAGCACTGAAGCTTGGAGAGGTGAAGTAAGTGGCCCAAGGTCACATGGCATGATAAGCATATGGGCATTAATATCAGAAAGATCTGAATTTGAATCCAGTTTTCTCCATTTATTGGACCCTGGGCAAATAATGTTATCTCGTAAGCCTCAGGGTTTTCCTCCGCAAAATGGGAGTAATTCCCTCCTTCATAGTGTTATTGGTGGGATTTGACTGAGATAACAGACGTACTACAGACCCTGCCATGCAGCAGGGATAGTAACAGCAACCCTACGAGGCAGGCACTATTACGGCCCCATTTTGCAGATGAGGAAACAGAGGCACAGAAAGATAAAGTACATGCATAAGGTCCTGCAAATACTAAGGGGCAGAGGTGGATTCTGACCTGGGTATCCTGGCTGTACTTAGTGCTTTCAGTTTTTACCCCATAGCAGTGCTATTCGGAGTATGTAAACCCATTCTACCCATCTGTGACCAGGTAAGTTAACCTCACATTCAATTTTTGCACTTACCTTGTTAAACACAGACAACAAGCCATTCTCCAACTGGCATCGGTCCATGGACCACACTTTGAGTAGCACTGCTCTCTACCATCTCTGAGAGTAATGATGTTAGTCATAATAACATAATAGCTAGGATATCTTGGCTGTTTACATCATTGCTGGCCTATCCGACAGACTTTACATGTCTTAACTCATTTCATTTTCCCAAAGACTCTATGAAGCAGGTGCTATGATTATTCCCATCGGAGCTGGAGAAACTAGAGCACCAGGGGGTATAGTCACCTGGCCATGGCTCTTGGCTGGAATGAGAGCCAGGACAGGAACCAGCATCCAAACTGTGCTGGTCCACTCGCTTTTCCTCCTGCCGATTCAAGGCTCTGAGCAAAGGCCATACCAAGTCCTTTCTGTCCCCCATAAAGCAAGGAACAGTGCGCACAGCCCAGCGTGAATGCTTTCTGAATGCTTCTCACATATTCTGCTGGGCTGGCAGGAAGTAGCACAAACCGGGCTCTCTTATAATAGCATCCAAGGAATGAATTGGTCTATTTTTTACTTTTATTTAAAAAAATCTATTTCTATTTATAATAAAGATCCTCAAAGAGTCAAGAGTAGGGCAAAATCAATAAAAACAATCTATTTTGGCAACCTCTCCTGATACCTTCAGTGTCTTTTCACATTCTAGTCTTGTCTCCGGAGGACGCCTCGCCTCCAGGTTGGAGTGGCCATCCACATTATAACTCAGGGAGAGGCCGGCAGCTCTGAGCACCCTCTGCTTCTGCTCCCATCCTACCCCGGGACCCCGGGCTGCTTGGCTCTGCTTCACTCTTACGCTTCTGTGATGGCAATACAATGAAGATCTGACTTCCACTTTTATCTCAAAGACACCAGCTGGTGTTAGATTCACCTGTCTGGGTTGTAGTTCACCGTCTTAGGGTTGGTTTTTTTTTTTTTTTTTTCCTTTTTTTGTTTTTGGAGGAGGGGCAGGGCCAAAGTGTTTTTGCAGATTGATTGCTAAGTCCACTTCCTTCTTCTCTCTCTCTCTTTTTTTTTTTTAAGATTTTATTTATTTATTTTAGAGAGAACACAAGCATGAGCATGCATGCATGGGGGCGGGGGGAAGGGCAGATGGAGAAGAGAATCTTAAGCAGACTCCATGCCCAGCGCAGAGCCCGACATGGGGCTTGATTCCAGGACCCTGAGGTCATGATCTGAGCAGAAACCAAGAGTCGGACGCTTAACGAACGGCACCACCCAGGCGCCCAAGTCCACTTATTTCTAACGTTCACTATGAACTTTAATGGACCGATGTATTTTATCGTCAGTTTCAACCCTCTTGAGGCACCGCCACCAACACCTACGGTAATTCATCATGAAAGAATAGTATCAATCATAATAGGATTATGATATATCAGTGTTTCAGTTTACCCAGTACTTTTCATGTATTATAACATCTGGCCTTCCGAATAATTAGCCTGTCAGGTGGATAAGGCAAGAATAACCTGGTCCTGGTTTCACAACGAGGAAACTGGCGTAAGGAGTTTCCACCATTTGCCAAAGGGCACAAAGCTGGTAAGTGGAAGGATGCTGGTCATCAGATTTCAAATCCTAGGAAGATTCAATCTCACTGTCAAAGACTGCCTACCAGGACTAAGACTCATTAGGAAAAGCTTCATGAAGCCGCAGTTTCCCCACCCGTGAAATGGGGGGAGCAATACCCTGCTGGGTCACCGGGAGAGTAAAAGGAGATAGTGGCTACGGGGTTCACTTACAAACACACTCTAGACCATTGACATTATTACGGAAGGGGGCTCAACTCTGTTGCTGTTCTCCTAAGCTTCTCTCTCTCTTTCTGTGCTGCCAGTTTGACTCAGCCCTAGTTCGACGGGGGCACAGAGGTCTGAGCCTATGAATGTGATCATGCCCGGAGAATGGCATGAGCTGGAAATTCATCCAAGTTTCTGGGAAATGCTACCTCCTCCACCCTCCATCCACCAGGACCTTGATATTCTGGGCCAGTGTGTGTGATGTGTCTTGATGCCTTAGAACTAACTCCCCAAATGGCTTTTATGGAGTGGTCCCAAAAAGTGGAGAAACTGCCCATTCCTCAAGGTCCATTTTTAAAAGAGACATCCATGATTTGGAAGCTTGGCTGGAGTCTCAGCCTAGTCCTACAGGCCCTCACCAGCCAACCCTCAACCACCTACCCACTATGTGGTTACTGGCAAATGTAAATCACACATGTGGCTTGCGGTGTGTTTCTATTAGAGAACTCTTGCTCCAGCATGCACATATACAACAAGAGGGTGGAATTGAAAACTTACATGACACAGAGCCACTGCATCATTCTCAAGTGAAGCAGCCATGTGTCCCAAGCCCAGCAAAGTACCCTCCGCTTTCCCACCAGGGGTCAGACCTCCCCCCTTGCTCACCTGTTGTACAGCTGTTGGGAACTGAACGTATAGAGCACATATAGGGTGTTCCCCGCCAGAAAGGCCAGGATCCACAAAATGACCAGCACCGACCTCTTCTCCTAGAGACAAAGCAAGAGACTTGTAGGGATGCTGCAGTGCCAGAGGTGCACACTGCAAAACATTCCAGAATGTTCTCTGACAAGTGGCCACTTTTCCCTTTCTCAGAGGTTTGGAAGAAGCAGGGCTGAGGGTGAAGGGAAGGGCACTGGCATCTTCCCACCCCACTGGAACCCAAGGGGTGGACCCGGAGAAGGTGACAGAAATGTGGAACCTGGTATGTGAAAAAGCAGGAAGGCTCTACGGGTAGCAAGGATTCTGGAGCCAGATGGCCTGGGTTCAAATCCTTGATCTGTAGCCGCAGGGCTGAGCAAGTTACTGAACTCTCTGCGTTTCCCTCTCCTCATCTGTAAAATGGGTACATACTGTGACTCCATTACAGAGTTGTGAGAATTGATGTACATGCAGTCAATGTTGGTTCACATTTCCTGTAAGGACTGGACGCACAGAGCAGGGAAGTCGCTCTTGCTCAAGGGCACGTGTGTTAAGCCCTAGTGCCCTCATTTGAAAATGGGAGTTTTGCTAAGGAGGAAGGAAAATTCATAAATGTAAACTCTCAGTCTGGTTTCGGCTCATGTTTTGGACTCACTAAATGGCAGGATCTAGGATCCAGATTTTCCAACACAGCAGTCGATTCAAATCCACAGCTTGACAAATTCTGCTCTCCCTTTTTCTAGCCTGGACCGCGGGGACACTATCCTGGCCTGACCGTTCAACCCAGGGTCATGGTTATAGTGTTCACTTCAAGCTCACACACATGGCCAGCAAAGTCTTTCCCCAAACCATCCCTATTTCCTTCTCCAGCCTCATTTCTGATTAGTCCCCAGGAAGCCAAGCTGGAAAACCTTCTTGGTTTCCTGTTTCCCAGCAGCTTCTCAGCCTGAGAGCCATCCCAAGGAATTTCTAGAGGAGGCGCGGGGCAGGGTGTGCTCCTGCCTATGTAGTCTGGGAGACACACACAGACCCCTGTGCTGCTGATTCCCAAAAGCTCATCTTTTCCTGGATCAGGGCGGCTGCATTGCTGGAATAAGATGAGGTCATAACTTTCTCAGTGTAACCTTCCCTGTGGTTTTGGTAAATACTCCACTGTCTCTAGACATAGCTCAGTGCCCCGTGCATGGTTACAGAGCACATTTCCATAGAGTAGACAAAATAAATGCATCTCCACCCACCCATTATTCCAGGAGTGGTCAAGGTTAATGACCCTAGAAACCACCTCCAACCAACCAACTGCTCTTATCACTGTGAATAATCTACTCAGCAGCCCTTCTTACTCCAATAAATAATGGATTCCAGTTTAATCCCCCTGTAAATCCAAACCAGAGGTGGAATACAGAGAGAATTAGCAATGCCCTGAGAAGCCAAACTCTGAAGGACAAAAGGGGCGAGTTCTCCAGCAGTAAGTTGATATTTCTAAACTTACTAAGGGTCATGCAGAATCTCTTTCACAGAAAATGTGTATGGACAGACAATACATCAGCTGTGTCTTCATAGGATTCAAGGATCCCTACCTAGAACACCTATCCATGGATATAGGCATCCTCTGACCCCTAAAATTTAAGCCAAGGCAATATTTAGATGTTCTGCATTTGAGAGAGAGCCCCCAAAAGTGTCCTACTATGGTGTTGATCAACCTGCTGTTCTAATAACAGCAGAAAGGAATTTGCATAAAGAAGATGAGACCAAGGGTCAAGAAGAACCTCTGGTCCATGCCCAGCTCTGAATCTCAACGTGCTCATCCATCAAATGGAGACTGAGCTGCCTTCTGTGCCTCACAGAGGCCCAGATGCTTTTAAGAAAGCCCCAGAGAACGATGGAGTGAAAGACCAGAGAGGATGGTGGTTGTTAGGGGATCACATGCACAGTAGAAGGCACAGGCTTATTAAAAGTAGCTCAATTAAATGTTTCCTATACGCCAGGCCCTGTGCTAAACGCCTCCTTAAGCACTGTCTCATCTGACCCCCTCTCTGCATGTATGAAGTTGGTATGAATGGTTCATTTCTCAGGGCAGCACTGGGGACTGAGATCACCAAGGTAACCTATCCCAGGGCCTGTGTGCAGGTGGCTGGAGGGGCTGTGTTCACCCCCGGCTGAAATCAAATACTTATCTGTGCAGAGCTTCACCGCCCGACACCGCCACTTTCATGGACTGTGTGACCTCATACACAAGGCACTTAGTGTCTCTGAGCCACCGTTTCCTTATTGGGAAAATGAGCTAAGAATGATTCTGCCTCCCTCCAGGGCGGGTGGGACAAATCTGCAAGATGAACTGTGCCATCTGCCCAGCTTTGTGCTTGGCGTGGTTAGCACCGCACGGAGGTTACATGGGAACTCAGGATGACGATGGTGAAGCTGGTGAAACCAGCAGCGCCAGCGGGCTGGCCTCAACCGTGAGAGTGGCCAGGCAGATAAGGGTGCTGTGGGCATGTGGGGGAGACGCTGCAGTCGGGAGGGTGCGGGAGAGGGATGGCACATCCGGGGATCTCTGGCCAGGAGTGGCAGGCAGAAAAGTGGCCTCCTGGAGACGTCCCCATCCTAGTCCCTGTCACCTGTGGCTATGTTAGCAGAATTTATTTATTTATTCATGAGAGACAGAGAGAGAGGCAGAGGCAGAGGAGAAGCAGGCTCCCCACGGAGCAGGGAGCCCGATGCGGGGCTCGATCCCAGGACCCTGGGATCATGACCCGAGCCGAAGGCAGACGCTTAACCGACTGAGCCACCCAGGCGCCCCTATGTTAGCAGAATTTAGATGGCTACTCAGCTAACCTTGAGATGGGGAGACGCCTGGATTTTCTAGCTGGGCCTGATGTAATCACAAGAGTCCCTAAAAGCAGAAGAGGGCACAGAGGGGAGCATTCCCAAGGAGATGTGACTACAGACAGACAGGTGGGCACTGAGGCGCAGCATTGAGGGCTCAGAGGAGGTGGGAAAGGGGCCACGGGCCAGAGAATGTGGGTGACCTCTAGAACCTGGGAAAGGCAAGGCAAGGGGATCTCCCCTGAAGCCTCCCGAAAGAACAGTCGCGTTAACAGCCGATCTTCACCTGGAGAGATCCACTTCAGACTTCTGATCCACAGAACTATCAGGGAGTAAATCTGTACTGTTTTAAGCCACTGAGTTTGTGGTCACGCGCGACAGGCGCCTAGGAGACCAACTTGCCGGGTGACTCACCTTCAGAGAGACCTGTTCTCGCAGCGTGGAGTTGGCATAGGCAAAGGTGCTAGCCATCCCGATGCACACGGCAATGCCTGCGGGACAGAAGAGGTCCGCCACAGTCCTCTCAGGCTCCTTGGGCCTGGCCCGAGCTTACGAGGAACCATGAGCAACATTAAAAAGTCACTACCCTCTATTCCCTTACGCCAACCGAGCAGCGGAGGAAGTTTCTGCAGGACAAACGACAACCCCCACTGGATAGAGGACGACACAGGCTCAGAGAAGGTGAGTGACTTGTCCTAGGTCACACAGCTGGCCGAGCAGGATCGCATCCCAGGTCTGACTCAGAATCCCATACTCTTAAGCACTGGGCACCATGAAGGTCTCTACAACCCTGCCCTGACCCTTGGGATGAAGGGGCCCCAACCCAGCAGGTGAAGCCCCAAGCTGCCACACCCGTGGACCCCCAGACTCACCGAGCTTGTGCTGGAAGCACACTTTGGCCAGGAGGATCAGGATGAAGGGCAGGCCTTTCTGGAGCCAGCAGACCACGGCCTTCAGCTCAGACAGGGCAGGGGCGGGTGTCCCCGGCTGCTCGTCACCCCCCTCGTCCGAGTGGGTGCGGTGGTCCCCACCCACATGCTGCAGCAGTGAGCTCCCGCGGTGGCCGCTGTGGTGGAAGTGGTGGTGGGGCTGGCGGTGGTGGTAGGTGCCCCCCTCGCCCCGGCCCCCCCCCTCCTCCCTGGACGCAGGCATCTGGATGAACACGTCCCCGCCTCCGGCTGATGCCCCCAGCACCAGGCTGGACGGGAACGGGGTGGCGGGCAGGCTGCCCGCTGGGAGGCCGGGGAGACCAGAGAAGAGCGCAGGTGGGGAGGCCGACTCTGCCTTCAGACTCTCAAAGACACCGCCTTCATCCACGCTCGCCTCAGAGCTGAGCGCTTGGCTGCGATTTCTGGGCCAGGAGGGAAAAGAGAGTCCCACCAAGTCAGGGCAGGGAGAGAAAGACGGCACCCCAGTGGAGGATGGGGGGCAAATAACAGTACCAATATTGTTGCAGGCCAAATTGTTTTCCCCCCTCTCCCCATTTCTTTGTTGAAGCCCTAACCCCCGGACCTCAAAAAGTGACTGCACTTGAAGACGGGGTCTTGGCAGCGGGTAATTAAGTTAAAATGACGCCACTAGGGTGGGTCCTAATCCAATACGACCAGTGTCTTTATAAGAGGAGATTAGGACATGGACACACACAGAAGGCCAGTGAGGACACAGGGAAGGGAGGAGGCCATCCACAAACCAAGGAGAAAGGTTTCAGAAGAAACTGACCCTGCCCACACCTTGATCTTGGGACTTCCAGCCTCCAGAATAGTAACCCAATAAATTGCTAACGTTTAAGCCACCCAGTGTGTGGTATCTTGTCACAGAAGCCCTGGCAAACTGAGACAGATAGAACCAGCAATAGGGTCACAATCTTCATGGAAAATTTACCGTGTGCCAGATAGTTTTCTAAGTGCTTCCTGTTGATTAAATCATGATACCCTCCTATCAACCCTGTGAGTTAGGTACCAATATTACCCCCATCTTACAAATCAAGAAACTGAGCACACAGAAAGTAACATGTCCTGAGTCACATAGCCAGGAAGGGACAGGGCAGGAGAGATTCAACTAACTCCAGAGCCTGTTTTCTTCACCACTCTACTCTACTGAAAAGCCAGCACAGATTCTATGATTCTAGAATAACCTCAGGAACCCAGGGACCCCTGGCCCTGGAATTTTCAATGACTCCCAGTTTCCAAGAGGGCCCATCCTTGGTCACAGCCAGTATTTGGAGGGCAGCAGACAGTAATATCAAGAAGACTCAACAGAAGAGCCCACGTTCAAACCCCAGCTCCACGCTTCCTAGGGGCCTTAGCAATCCGGCACTCACTTTTCTCACCTGAAGATGGTAGAAACACCATTCATATATAGAATTCCTGTGGGATCAAATTTACAACAGCCTTTTCAGTGTACCCAGCACAGAGCAGGTACTCAATACATGGGATCCCTCTGGAGAGACCTCCAGGGCCAACTGCCTTCTCTAGTTCCGAGCACAGCTTCCTGTACTGGCACCTGGCAAAGGATTCTGTGGCTCTCTGAGCGCCATTGCCAGAGGTGCAGAGAGCCCAGAGTTACCCCTTCAAGACTGGAGAGCCCTGAACCAGGGATACTCTGCCATGAGCACCATGCCCAGGAGGTCTGGAGGTCGTCTCTCTTGGGCTTGCCTTCTTTTCAAATGAGAGCATGATGTGGAAACTCATTCTGCCCAACAGAGACAAGTAGAGCTGGTTTGCTAGATGTGTAGGTGTCAGGGTGAGGAGCAAAGAGCCTCTCTCCCCTCGCTTGCCCCCAAGGCACCTCCCAGACCCCTGTGGTACTTAAAGTATGTCACGACCTTACTGAATGTGAGAGCTGAGTTCCAGTCATCCTCTGTGGACCCCACAACCCGGGGCATGCAGTAGGTACTCAGTAAACGTGTGCTAGCTTTCATCGAGGCACATCATCCTAGACTCTGTATAATCTACTGTCCACTCGGAGACCAGGATGCATTTTAAAAAACAGATATTTGATTATTTCACTGTCCCACTAAATGGGCTTCCCATTCTAAACTCCCTCCTGCAGGTTCAGATAACCACTATCCATAGGGATGAATATCATTCCCATTTTACAGATAAAGAAACTGAGGCTCAGAGAGACAAAACTGTCAGATGCCCTGGACGCTCTGGCTCCAAACTCCAATGTCACCGTGTGCCTTGTTCTCACTGCCCAAGGGCTTCCTACTGCAGGGCCTTTGCATAGACACCAGGATGTTTTCCCACCCCCTGCCCATCCCACCTGGGTCACCTATGCTCATCCATCAGATTGCAGGTAAAATCTCTCTTGCTTGGTGGTGTCCTTCCTACTTCCCAGACAATGACAGTGTCCTTGTTTCTTGTTTTCACTATACCCTAACCCACTGCATGGGAGTGATTCCAAGTATCATTTCACTGCCTACCTCTGGCTCTCAACCGTGGCGGCACATTATAATCACTCAGGGGAGCTTCTGAAAAAGACAGGTGCCTAAGACCCAGTGTTAACCAACTGAATCAAAATCTTTGGTGGTGGGCCTTGACATCTCCAGGTCGTGAGAGCCCTCCAGGTGATTCTAATATTCAGTCAGCACTGAGAACAGCACTTCAGGCTGGGCCCTGCTCCAAGAGGTCAAAGATCATGACTGTTGATTCCTACTGTCTCTCTCCTGCCCAGCACAATGCACCAGGCACACACAGCATGGTCAATAAATACTGTTTGAAAGAATGAATGAAAGAGCATACTAAAAGCTCTGAGAAGGCCTGCAACTGAAGAAAAAACTAATTTTGTTGAAACTTAAGTGTTTCCCAAACTTATTTGACCATGGGATTCCTTTATTCTGTGGAAAACCTATTACCATCTTAGAGGACACTTATGAAACCCAGCAGGGGACATGCTGGCCTGGAGAAATCTCAGGGTTGGCTTCTCTAGCTCCATAAACTTGACCTGGGAGGAAATGATCACAAACCTGGTGCAAAGGGAGGGAACTTGGAGATGGCTACCCACTCTCCCACCCCATGGCCTATCCCTGCTGGCTCCCCAAACCCAGGAGATGTATGGTCCTACTCCCTTGGGCTTGGGATAACAATAAAAACAATATTAATAACAACAACAACCACAGACACCATGGCTATGACCCTCAAGGGGCCGGGAGCTTTTTCTGCACTTCAAGAAACTGAGCTCAGAAAGCAGGAGTTCTGGCAGGTGCCCACGCTGACCCACATAGGGGCCAGCCTCTCTCCACCATTGGGCCCTAGAAAGCCCTCCTGGCCCCCTGAGCTCACCAGCATGGAGTTTACTGGGCTCAGGGGGCCTCTAGAACAATCAGGGAAGACTCAACCCACCAAGGGGCTTTTTATAGCTTGCCTCCCTTCCCCGGGCCTCTCCTCAGTATCCAGCCGAGATTTCAGCCTAAATGGGAAAGAATATTCCTTGGAGGACTGAGGCTGTGTTTCCAACTTAACCATTTCAGGGCTAGAATGTGAGGCAGCCCAGGAGGAGAAGTGGATCCACCCAGATAGGATGCAATCATAATGTGGTGCCACAAAGCATGGACTACGGGGGGGCGGGGGTGATGGGCTGGGGCCTGAATCTCAGCCTGCTGCTTCCTGGCTGTGTGACTTCAAGTAACTTACTTTCCTTCTCTGAGCCTCATTTTCCTCAACTGTAAAAATAGTGGTAAAAATCGTCCTGACCTCATCAGGCTAATGTGAGGGTGGCGCAGGGTAAGCACACCATACACGGTGGCCATTATTTTCCTGCTGCGGTCTCTGCCCCCAAAGACCTCACAGTTCACTCGAGGGCAGACAGCGATTCTGTCTTCAGAGGCTAGAGAAGCTCCAAGACGCATGCTTATTATATGCCAGAGGCTGTGTTTGTGCATTTTCATGCTCATTCGCTCATTCATCAACAACCCTGAGTTTTATTATCTGGCTTTTATTGCGGGGTGGCGGGGGGAGAAACCGAGATCCAGGGGTGGAGTCGCTCACCAAAGGCACCACAGGTGGGAAATGGCTAAGCTGGGATTTTGGCTAAGGGTCATCTGACTTAAGGACAGTGCTCTTCCTTGTAGAACAGGCAGGGCTGATGCAAAACTCAGTCTTAATGGGACTGGTAGACACACTGTGACCTTGTCATCAACCTTGGGCTCACAGGGGACCCGGCATGGGATGTGAAGGCGGAGCTCAGCTGCCTGCTCCTGGGATGTATGTGCAGCACAGGTGGAGAGTGTCACAACGTGAGAACACATCTCCATGGTGTGGACTCTCTTGGACTTCACTAGACGGTAAGGCTAGCTCATGAGTGTTTTCTGAGATTTTTTTCTTTTTTTTTTTTTTAAGATTTTATTTATTTATTTGACAGAGAGAGAAAGAAAGAGCACAAGTAGGCAGAGTGGCAGGCAGATGGAGAGGGAGAAACAGGCTCTCTGCTGAGCAGGGAGCTGGATATGGGGCTTGATCCCAAGACCCCAGGATCATGACCTGAGCCGAAGGCAGTCTCTTAACGGAGCCACCCAGGCGCCCCTGAGATGTTTTTTCTATTTGTCTATTTGGCATCTGCTAATAAAAGCTGTGGCCTGTGCTTACTCCTTGCTTCTTTCTGCCTCCCGACTGACACTGGTGCTTCCCCCTGTGGCCCTTTCTGGGAAGGCATGCCCCACTCTCTTGGGAAATGTAAGGAACCAAAATCTTTTCCCAGTGCCGTTAGCCTCTCTCTGTCCTCACTCACTCACCTCTGTAAGTTAAAATCTGTGGGAACGATCACTGATGCAATGAGTCAAGTGGATCGCCTGTCCCACGGGCTTTGGGGATTACCCTAAAAGCAAGAGCAAGCTGCTGTATTGAGAAGTATATGCCATCACTGGGCAAAGCAGTTTCCAACTAGATCTCCTTTGCTTATCTCACAAGTAACCCCAAAAGGCAGGTATTATTCAATCGAGATTTGGATTGCCCCAGACCATCTGAAGGCCAGAGCCTCCAGATGGAACGAAACCAGGAGAGGTCCTACCTACCTTTCAGGTGGACCGTTATCCGTGTTACTGCTGTGGCGTCTCTGCATTTTCCTTAAGACCTGAAAGTCAACACATGGCATGAGCTAGAGTCTCTCAACATTCCCATTGCAGGTCGGATTGCCAAGGCAACTGTAAACAAGTATTATTACTCCTACCTCACATCCCTAGAGTTGTCTGACATTCTGCAAACCCTGCTTGCATCCATTAGGTCATCCAACTATTAATTCAACATTCAATCCCTGGGAGGAAAGTGTTATCACCCCATTTTGCAGATGAGGATGTTGAGACCCAGAGGCAGAGGAAGAAGTCCTCATGTGAGAGGCAGCACTGAAATGTGGAGCAAGGCGGTGCTGGAGGATGGGAGAACGAGACACAGCTTCGGAACTGATGCTGCTCCTAATGTGCTGTTAGGAGCACCCTTGGACAAATCAGCGACCTCTCTGTGGCCTCAGATTCCCCATCTGTTAAATTGGGGGGTTGGTGGTGTGGTGTGACCGAAACCCAAAGCTACCTTCCACCCCTCACATTAAATACGGTGATAATAAGGATGTGAATTCTCATGGAGACACATCACCTGGTTCACTGTGAGGAGCCACATGGACTTCAGAACTCCATGTCGATGATGCCTGAGGTGGGCCTTCAGGGCTCTGACGGGGTTGTGACCGCTAGAGTCCAGAGAAAGCAGGCCTCTCCCTCCACCTCCTCCAGAAGGATGCACAGGTCACCAGAGCTTACCAGACTCCAAACCCTGGAGGGAACAGAACACTTAAGGGAACAGTCTGTGGGATGGCTTGAACCTGAGAATGTCTTAGGGCATCACGGGTAGCTCTAAGCATATGGTTCTGTCTGCTCCCTATCTCTGGTTAGCCTCTCACTGATCCCTCTTTAGGACTCCTAAGGATGTTATATTAACAAATTTCATCCCGTTGTCAAACTGAGTCCTGACTGCGGAATACAGAAAATATGTGTGAGGCCCTCTAATGACTTCCCATTGCAACCAGAATAGAATCCAAACTCTGTTCATGGCCTACAGGTTCTGCCTGATGCAGCTTCACCTGTTTCCAATCTCATTTCCCTCTACTCTTCCTTTAACCCCTCCCCACCAGCCACACTGGCCTTTGTTTCTCAAACAGGCTGGCTTGTCCCTGCCTCAGGGCCTTTGTACTTGCCGTTCTCTGTTCCTTCAATGCTTTTCCTTCTGTCTAGCTCCCTCAGGTCAAAGGTCACCTCCTCCCAGAAGCCTTCTCCTCTCATCCTCCTGACTCACCATATGTTGCCCTGTTTTATCTTCTTTAATAGAACTTATTCACTTATATGTTTGCTTATTTATGATCTGTCCCCCATTAGAATGTAAATGCCACAAAAGCAGGGATCCTAAGTCTGGCTCACCCCTGTACCTCAGCATCCAGAACTTCCTAGCACAGAGTTGCATTCAACAAATAAATATTCAAATGTTTATTCAATATTTATTATGGATCTCAGTTACCTTTTTGTATATCCCTTTCTCCCTCCCTGACTTTTCACCCTAGAAAAATAAAAGCCATAGACTTTCCATGAATAGGTTTAGCCTTTTTTTTATTTTTATTTTGTATCAGGACCAAAGATGGTATCTTTTAGTCGAGGACATCATAATCAGTTGTTGAATGATTTCCTAATCCTGACCACCTTCTTCAAAGGACAGCATTGGTGTTACGAAGACCACTGATTAGACACAATTCACTGGCTAACCCTCTCTTCTCTTTTGGAAAATCAGCTAAGAAACAGGTCAGTAGCACTATCTTCACATATGAAGGAAAGCTCGTTATGTAAATATTTTTCAAGAACATGCAATGTCACCTTAATGGCCCCTCCCAGTGATTCCCCATCACTTGCAAATCCTTGGGGAAAATAAAATACAGCATCCCCAAAATACAAATTCCGAATTTGACACAGCCTCCTAAATCACACGCCCAAGATTCTACTTTCAGATGCTCATTTTCAGGGGGCTTCAGATGCGCTCTTGGAAGCAGGCCATACATAATTATTCCAATATTGAATTCTGGAATAAAATTTTGCACGTGGAACGCATCTGAATGACTGAATGAAACGCCTCTTAACCCTCTGCTCCATTCATTGTACTACATCCCTCTGAAGAATTACCCTGAGACTTTTCAATGCATGCTTTGTTTTAAGTTGCGCCCCCAGGCCGTTACAGGAATGCACCGAAATGCACGCGAGAGCATCTCCTGCGTTCCACGCACTGGAAGCCCGCAGGTGCACTTGAGGAACAAAGCCTCGAGCATCTCTCCTTCCTGCAACCAGCGTTCAGCACAAAACGCCCTAGTTCTGCAAGGACGGGAAAATATAATGGACTGTCCCCGGAGAAAAAAAAACGCGTTCTCTTTTTACCTGCCCAGACAATTCAGCAATCACAGCAGCATCATTCACGTCCTTCCAAGCCAATCAGTCGCCAGGCCGGGGGAGCACGTGACTTCCGAGTGCTTCCGGCCTCTCGTCGGGTTCTCTCTTAGGCCGCATTGGCCCGGCGCTAAGACCCCGGCGCTGCTACTCCTGCTGTGCGCACGCGATTGCCCGCCCCTTTTCGAGATTCAGCCAATAGGAGGCCGCCGCTTCTCAGGGACCAATGGGGAGGAGCCGAGCGAGGCCGGTGGGCGACGCGAGCGGAGCGGAGGCGGGGCGTGGAGCGGGGTCACGTGGGGCGGCGCAGGGTGGCTGCCGGGAGCTGGCTGGGCCGGAGGCCGTGGGGCCGGCGCCCACCGCGAGGAATGGGGCTCCCGGCAGCGTAGGGGCCATGCCGCCCGGGCCCCGGGCCTTCCCCGCTCCGCGCCCCGGCCGCCGCGCCCAGCGTCCGCCCCGGCATGGTGAACCTAGCGGCCATGGTGTGGCGCCGGCTCCTCCGGAAGAGGTGGGTGCTCGCCCTGGTCTTCGGGCTCTCGCTCGTCTACTTCCTCAGCAGCACCTTCAAGCAGGTCAGTGGCTGCCCGCCGCCCTCCCGCTTTTGCTCTCCCGGCCGCCTGGCTTCCCCCTGGGGTAGGGGGAGCCACCCGTGCAGCCGCGCTGCCAGTGTGTCCGAGGGTCCGGTGCGCCGGACCGAGGACGGGCGAAGGGACCTGCTCATTTCGTTGGTGCCGGGGCGAGAAGGCGCTGCTAGGCCAGGGGCGCAGGTGGAACTGGAACCCAGGTCTGTGGGCCCCTGACTGTGGTTATTACTGCTGTCTGTGTGCCTTCTGCCTGCCGGGTCCAGGGCTGAAAGGGGGTTGTGTGTTTCTTGCTTCTTCCGCCCGGCAGTCCTGGGGGACGGGTGTCCCCAGATGGCAGCGGGGGAAACAGACTCGGAGAGGCGGAGGTGGTAAGTAGCCAAGCTGCGAGGCCAGCGCTGGCGTACCTGGCTTGCGTTTCCTTTGGGGGGCTCAGTGGTCCACCTGGGAGACTCAGCAGGACCCATGAGGTACCCTTTCCGTGCATAACTTGTTTGGATGGAATTTCCTTCGCACCTCCCCATCCCCTTCGTTTTTCTTCTGTGTGATAATTTCTGGGAGAAAATGGCAGGGTGGTTTGGTGGGAAATGCGACCAAAGCATTGCACGTTTATGAGTCCAGTTTGAGCGTTTGGGTTTTTAGAACGGGTGAGAGCATACCTAGGAGTGGACCAGGTACAATACTGGTTTATGCTGTTCCTCTGATGTCTGATTGCTCTGATGCTCTCAAGGGTCAAGCTCGTAAATAAAATATATTAATGAATGTAAAATAAACTATGTGGTCACCCTAGTTTAATAGAATCGGTGGGGGAGCTGCGTAAAGGGAACATAGGGAACTGTATCCCACCTCTTATCTTAGGCAAACAGAGAGGGTGAGTAGTGTTGTGAGCCTCTTTATTGACTGGAATGTGTTGGTGACATTCAAGAACTAAGTGCTTCTGGGACTTGTGTTTTCTGCAACCTCACAGCCACCTTGTGGTCACGTGCTTTTCCTTCTCTGTCTGGCAGACCTCTGAGTGTTACAGTGAGTCAGGACTCAAATCTCAGCATTCTTCCCTACCTGACCCAGGTAATCTCTGGGACCATTGTTTAATTCCAGCTGTATGCTCTTAATACCCAAATTTGTAACTAGCCTAGACCTATCCAGAAAACTCCCCAATTCTTCTATCTGTTTGGTTACTTGCCATCTTTTGAATGTGTCATAGGCTTCTCATTCTTGGCCAAAACAGAATTCCTGATTCTCCACCATCAACAATTCCTCTTCAGTCTTCCCAGGCTCACTAAGTGGCATTACTGTTCACCAGGTAGTCAAGCCACAGATACTTCCTTCTTTTTCTCACTCCCCACATCCAAAACATTGCCCCTGCCTCCACACTGGTGCCACTCTCGGTCAAGCTCCCGTGTCTGGACTGCTGCAGTAGCCCACCAGCAGGTCTTTGCTTCCTTTCTTTTCTTTTTTTTTTAAGATTTATTTCATTTGAGAGGGAGAGAGAGAGGAGGAACAGAGGGAGAGAGAGAATCTGAAGCAGACTTCGTGCGGAGCTCGATCCCATGACCCTGAGATCATGACCTGAGCCGATACCAAGAGTCTGATGCTCAACCAACTGAGCTACCCAGGTGCCCCAGGTCTCTGCTTCCTTTCTTGTCCAACAGTCTCTTCTCTACCTATCAGTAATAGGGGTGATAATCTGGAAGAAAAAAAAAATCACAGTTCTCCCCTAGGTATAATTTCTTTGGCTTTCTGTTGCACTCAGATAAAACTCCAGAATCCATTCCAGGATCATTGCATGGTGAGTCTTTTTTGTCCCTTCAGGCCAGGCTAACCATTACTGCCTCAGGCCACACTGGGTAATACAATCTAAATTAAGGTTCCTTGCCCATAGGCCTGTTTCATTTTCTTTGTAGTAGGAAGCACTAACTGAACATTTCTTGTTCATAAGCTTGTTTATCTGTCTTTCCTCTCTCTTCCTTCTAGACGGTAATTTTCTTGAGAACAGGAACCTTGTCTGTATTATTCATAGAATCTCACCCCCTTGAATACTGCCAGGCACTTAATGGACACTCAAGTATGGTTTGAACAAACACGTGAGTCGTGAGTCTTTTTAATTGGGATGACTTTTCCTTTCTTCTCCAACTACTTTTCTATGTCAGATGCTGTCTACTCTGTGACCTTCCCTACAACCATCTTTTAAGTACTATCATGCACCTTGTGTATTTATTTTTAAATTACAGTGTGTCTTTTTTAGAAACCGGTGATCTATGACCATGACTGGGGAGGGATGATTGTGATTCGCCTAAAACTGTTGGCAAATTTCTCTGGGTCTGATCCTTCACACAGCCCAGTTAACACTAAGAAACACTTCAGCTGTAACCTATCCCTGCCCATCAACTCCTGGCAACCACTAGTCAGCTTCCTGTCTCTGTGGATTTGCTGTTTTGGGCATTTCATATAAAGGAATACTACAACATGTACTCTTCTTCTTCGTTCAGTTCTTTGTAGCATATAGTAGTGCTTCATTTTTTTTTTTAAGATTTTATTCATTTATTTGAGAGAGAGGGAGTGTGTGTGTGTGTATGTGTGTAAGAGAGCACAAGTGGTGGAGAGGGAGAAGCAGGCTGCCCATTGAGCAGGGAGCCCGATGTAGGGCTCAGTCCCAGGACCCTGGGATCATGACCTGAGCTGAAGGCAGACGCTTAACGACTGGGCCACCCAGGCGCCCTGTAGTAGTACTTCATTTTTATGTGTGGATAATATTCCATTGTATCCAAGTGCTGCATTTTGTTATCTTTTCATCAGTTGGTGGATGCTTGGCTTATTTTCATTTTTTGGTTATTATAAAGTTGCTGTGAACATTGGCGTACAAGGTTTTATTTGGAAATACGTTTTCATTTCTCTTGGGTATGGTCCTAGGAGTGGAATTGATGGGTCACATGGTTTAACTTTTTGAGGAACTGCCAGACTGTTTTACAAAGTGCCTGCACCATTTGTAATGAACTTTTAAGAAACTACACTTGTCAAGTTTTGATGTAGTACCAAAGAAGATTATCCGTAATTATTTGAAAAAGCCATTAAAATATTCCTTCCATTTCCAAATACACATCTTTGTGAGGTAGATTTTCTTCACATGCTTCAACCCAGACAACATATTGCAACAGATTAACCACAGAGGGAGATAAGGAGAATCCTGCTGTCTTCCATTCAGCCAGACATTAAAAAGATCTGCAGAATTGTAAAAGCATTTTCTCACCAAGTTTATTTTTTTTGTTTTGAAGAACGTTTTTTTCACAGACAAAAAAAAAAAAACAACCCTGTTAATATATAATAGGTTCATTTTTATTTTTAGTTGAATAGATAATTTATTTGAGGTAAATATTTTAAGAATTTATTTTTTAATTTCCAGTATGATCCTCATAAACCCACATTGGAGATTCTCTGTATAAGGAAGATAAAGGGTCTTTGGGAGCCACAACTTGGAGCCCATTCTGGCTGATGCTGTGCTCTGTGCATTTGAGTTTGCCCCTCTTGCTCTGCTCCCTGACGCGGTTCTGGTTGTCCGCCGCTCCTGAGCTGTGCCACTTGAGGCCAGTTTGCCTCGTTGTGCCTGCCGTCAGTTTCTTCATCTGTGAGACGGCGATATGGTACGGAATATATGGGGCTGGGATGTGTGTGTTGGGATTGCACTGAGAAGAGGCGGTGAAAGTTGTAAAGCTCAGTATGGTCCCATGCTCTGCTTCAGCAAAAGAAACTCTCAACTCCTGGAACAGATGGAGCTGTTCGCCTGGAAGCGAGCTGTTCATCCTGTGTTGCTTTGAATTCCTCTTTTCTTTGGTTTTCATGTTAATTAATGCTTTGGGGGATAGTTTAAATTGTAGAGATGGGAGTGCAGGAGAAATTAATGACAATGGTGGGGATGCCATTGGGGAAGAGGATTGGGTTCCAAGTGACTGGGGCACATTTACCTAACAAATGTTGAGTGAACCCCAGCTGTGCTCTGGGTGTGGTCCGCTAGGTGGTGGAATACAAGGGGTGGGGGCAAAGCAGATAAGGTCTCACTCCAAGAGCCCATATTCTGCCAGGGAATTAAGGGGGCAGAAATGGCAAGTGACCAAAATCATTTCAGATGTTGATTTACCATATGAAGGAAACAAAACAAGATGTGGCGACAGAGCAGCAAGGTGGGCCTAATCCTGTGGGCATTCGAGCTGAGACAGAAGAAATCCCAGTCTTGGCGTCAGAGGGTCCTTCGAGGTCCTCTCATGTAAATAAATGTTCTCATGTTCAAGTGGAGCAGTTCTTGAAAGTCTTGGCATAACTCCTTGAAAGTATATTAATATCTTTAGCTTTCAAGGGGCGCCTGGGTGGCTCAGTCGTTAGGCGTCTGCCTTCGGCTCGGGTCATGATCCCAGGGTCCTGGGATCGAGCCCCGCATCGGGCTCCCTGCTCGGCGGGGAGCCTGCTTCTCCCTCTCCCACTCTCCCTGCTTGTGTTCCCTCTCTCGCTGTCTCTGTCTGTTACAAAATAAATAAAAAAATCTTAAAAAATATCTTTAGCTTGGGTGCCTGGGTGGCTCAGATGGTTAAGCGTCTGCCTTCGGCTCAGGTCATGATCCCGGAGTCCCGGGATCGAATCCCGCATCAGGCTCCCTGCTCCTTGGGAGCCTGCTCCTCCCTCTGCCTCTCTGTCTCTCTCTCTCTCTCTCTCTCTGTCTCTCATGAATAAAAAAAAAAAAAAAAAAAAATATCTTTAGCTTTCAAGTAACTATGTAAATTACAGTAGACTAAGCGTATAAGTTAGATACTTCTGAAGTGTAGCAAATCGTAAGAGAGTTGCTAATCGATTTTTGTTGTTGTTTTTGTTACTGATCACCAAGGTATGTATATTTTTCAGAAAGTTTGTCAAGTACTGCCCAGGGTAGAGGAGAACAGTGACCCCTAATTTCACCGACCATGGGACGTTTATCTCATTTGACCCTTATGGTAACTCCTGAAAAATAGGGTGGTTATTAAAATACTCCCTTTTAAAATCAGGCTAAGTAACATATATTAGTAATAAAAACATTACTGTAGCTCCTTATATTTATGAAGAAAGGTCTCCTGTTTTTTGCTTGTTTTTGTTTGTATGGCATGTGTACGTCTGTTGTGGTTGATTGCAGTGATTTCTGTGCACACTTCTTTATTGACTGCTCTGGGGGCACTTTGAGAAGAGAGAGCCTGACTGCCTTTGTCTGTATATCCTTAATGCATTGTAAGGACTTGATACCTTTTTGGGGGGGAACACACATGTGTGCGCACACACACATATGCATGCACGTGTATATATAAAAAGCCTAGAATTGAGACAACGTAATAGGGTAGGTCAGTTTGGAAAGGGTTTGAAACTATGGAAGGAATCCCCTCAGTGCCCCTTCACTACACCATTGGCGAGACTGGACCATCAGAAAAGCGACTATGTGCCAATTCATTACATTTGCTACTATGTCTTACACTATCCTTTGTACAGTCTTTTTTGATTGTACAACTCTTACCCAATCCTTTTGGCAGGGTCTTGGATATTCATGTTTGAAAACTTGAAAAAAAGTTCAAGTGCTAGAAGAATTGCCTTCCTGTTGACCGGGAGCATAGTTATGTGGAAGAGGTCCTTCCGGGATGCACTTGTCTGTGAACTCTTGTTTTCTTTTGGGAAGAATAACAGGATAGCTTGAGAGTAGTGTTAGGAGAACTTTTAACCTTGTTGTGAGATCCAGTGTACTTTGACCAGCCACTTACTAGTCTTTATGGCTATTAATTTATCTAGGGCAGCATTTGAAGCTCAGTTTCGTTTGAACATAGCTTGATTATGCAGTTAACTGATACAGTTCCAGCAGAGCAGAGGAGTATGAATTTACAAGTAGTTAAGCAGTGTGCACCTAAGTGATTTTTCCCATATTCCCAAGGCTTCTGCACTTAGCCCCTCTTCTTGCACCAACCAAGGAATACAGCTGTTGTTTTGTATAACCCATCCTGTTTCTACCAGTGCCAGTTCTTGCCTATAAATGAAGCAAAAGGGAAGGGCAGAATAGAAATTAAAGTCATTAAGTATAACTGTTTTACACTTAATAAATTAAAGAACACACTCCAGTACTGGTGCAGTGGTGGTGAAATTGTTACATAAATGCTGGCAACACTACAAATGGCATATGTAACTTTGGGGAAGTTATTTGGCACTATATAGCAGGGACTGTTTCTAATAATTATTACTATGAATCATTCAAGAGAATAAACAAACCTGTTTTTATTGCAGTGCTGTCTATGATAACAAAAACATGGGATGGGTCAAATGTTCTGTGGAGGGTGGTTTAATGAATTACGGCACATCAACATGATAGATTATTATACAGCCTTGAAAATGTTATTGTCAAGATAAGGTGGGTACTTATATGGTTTACCATCCAATTAGTGTCAAGAAGAGCTGAATGCAGGGCATCCTAATTTGTAGTCTAAATGCTGGGGTCGAAGGTTAGAAGTTAATATATAAAAATTGATAAAGCTTTATTTAAGCAATGGGACTGTGGGCAATTTTTGTCTTTAATGTTGGTAATCATGCTTTTTTTAAATAAAATTTTTATTTTGGGAGAATTACAGATTTAAAGAAAAGTTTCAAGGGTAGTACAGAGTTCACGTAGATCCCTCAGTGTCTTCTCTTGTTAATGATAATCATGTTTTTATTATTTTAAATTAAAAATGAAAATATTCCAAAGATGATAAAAGGTGTTGCTAATCCCCTGTACCCCTTCCATGTTAATAGTCTGTAGCGTATCTTTCCATATTTTTATCTCAGTTCTTACAAACCTACATGTGTATTTTATAATTGTTATAATGTGTGATGTCATATGCACATTCTTTTGTAACTTGCTTTTTTCACTTAATATATTGTAGACATCCAGTGGTCTGGATGATTTTTAACACACAGTGACTGTGTGTTAAAATCATTCAGGTGCTTTAACAATATTGATTCCCAGGTCCCATCCACAGAGATTTTTACTCAGTCTGAAGTTGGGCTCAGAAATCAGAATCTGTTTTAAAGTCCTAGGTAATTTAATGTGCAAGCCAGGTTTGAGAACTACTCGAGATAAATATGTATCATTCACATCTGGGATTTTTGTAATACCAATAGCTATACCAGTGTTGTTCAACCATTTCTCTGTCGGGTTTCTAGGTTTGTCCTACCATATAAACAGTGCTGTAGTAAACATCCTGGTACATCCTTACACATTGGTACTTTCTATAGCAAAAGCTCAAAAGTGTGTTTGCTGTGTCAAAGTGGATATGTATATCTTAAATATTAGTAGATCTTCCCAAGTTGCTTTCCTAAAGAAATCTCAGTAACTATGAAGATGTGTTTCATTGTTGTAAAGTATATATCCTTTGCCATCAAACTTTCAAGGTTAGTCCCTTTTGCTGGTGACACGTGACAGGTCATTCTTAATGGTAAAAGCCACAAAATCTATTAAAAAGGTAGAATGTTTAAAGTATATAAAAAGCCTTTGGGAGGGAGTCTTGTATAATTATTTGTTTTCCAACAGCAGGTTGAAGGATTCACAAGACAGCTGTTGCATGCTTGTCTTGTTTTGTGGTACTTAGGCACCTTCTCCTTAGTTCCTTTAATAGTATAGGAAAAGCAGTTTTGAAAGCTTGGCTGCAGCTTGGAGGCTAGGAGAAAAGGCATAAGTGCTTGCCTCTAGAGCAGCATGGCCTTTGCATGTGTAGGTAAAGGGCTGGCTGGAAGGATGTCTTATGAAAAGAAAGGTATGTTGTAAGAGTTACATAATCACTGTCTTTTCATAGGAGAAATTTGCAAGTTGACATGCTTCTTTTTTCCCCTAAAACCAACCTCCCACTTCAGTATTCCCCCTAAGTTTACCACTGAAGTACTCATGATGGCAAATGAAAGGGACCTTGTGCTCCAGATAAGTCTAGGTATTGTCTGAAATGACAATGGCGCAATTCCTTTGAAGTTTCCTCTTCTATTTTAAAGGTGTATTCAAATTTTACATTATATTTGGCAATGTGTTTGTTTCATTGTAAAAAAAATTTTTTTTAAGGTTTTATTTATTTATTTGACAGAAGTGAGAGACAGTGAGAGAGGGAACACAAGCAGGGGGAGTGGGAGAGGGAGAAGCAGACTTCCGCCAAGCAGGGAGCCTGATGCGGGGCTCGATCCCAGGACCCTGGGATCATGACCTGAGCTGAAGGCAGATGCTTAATGACTGAGCCACCCAGGTGCCCCTATTATAAAAAATTTTTTAAATGATTTACCATCAGAAAGAAAAAGTTTAAAACTTTTTCCCCTCCCAAGTTTTGCAATAAATTAACACTTTCATACACATTTACAGCAGGCATGTGATCCAGAGGCCATTAATATAAGTATGCCAGTTTTGAAGCATAGCCTTAATTTATTATTTTTCCTACAGGTTTATTTTGCGTCTTGTATTACGGCTTTGGCTCAGACTTGGCTTATGTGACTGATCCTGTCCTGCAAGCTTTCTTACATTGTTTCTGTCGTATTACATAGTTTCTATGAGAAGTTGGCGGGAACGCAAGAAATGATACTTTAACCTTCCCATTGGTGGTCTCTTTATAGGAGGAAAGGGCAGTGAGAGATCGGAATCTCCTCCAGGTTCAAGACCACGACCAGCCCATTCCGTGGAAAGTGCAGTTTCACCTGGGGAACAGCAGTCGGCCTGGCAACCAGTGCCGGAACTCCATTCAAGGGAAGCACCTCATCACGGATGAGCTAGGTAGGGCTGGCTCCCCTCTGCAGCCCACGAAGGGCTACGGTGTGAGTCTGTTGCTGTGGTTTTATACAGTGCCATTTCCAGCATTTCTCACATCTCTGTCTTTCATACCTTACTTGTCATTCTAGGTTCCCCTCACTGTCAGAGAAGTTTGATCTGATAATTCTGTCTCCAAAGCTCCTTGTGCCTGTAATGCACGGTTTCAGCATTTTGATCATGTGCCAGCCTCTAGGCTACTTCCTACCCATCTCTTCCTGGCCCCCGGATGTTCAGATCTTGCCCATGTTGTCTTCTCATCTTAGTGGTAAAGTCTACAGGGTAGCCAGTGTTCCTCCTTGGTGACATGCATAATATCCACACGGTTCTGGCACTTAGGAAATGTGCTTGTTGACTGATTGACTAGGTGATCTCACAAGAATGATAAACACATTCATTTTTCTTCTTGTTATATGTTGACTTATTTTTTTAAAGATTTTATTTATTTGAGAGAGAGAGCATAAGCAGAAGGAGGGGGAGAGTGAGAAGCAGACGCCTCACTGAGCAGAGAGCCTGATGTGGGGTTCGATCCCAGGACCTTGGGATCATGACCCGATCCGAAGGGAGATGCTTAACTGACTGAGCCACCCAGGTGCCCTATTTACTTATTTTAGAGAGAGAGCACATGTACATGCATGAGCAGAGGTAGAGGGAGAGAAGCAGACTCCCCACTGAGCATGGAGCCCAACGTGGGGCTTGATCCCACAGCCCTGAGATCATGACCTGAGCCAAAATCAAGAGTTGGACACTTAACTGACTGAACCACCCAGGTGCCTGAATGATAAACACATTCAAAATGTGTTACTTACAGTGAAAACGGCAGCCTGTCTGTCTGGGAGCTTTCTCCCAGAGTTTTGTTGCCTCCTTTAGTCTGTAAGAAAGGTGATTCCTGTGCTGTTGAGGTGGTTGGATTAGCTGATTGAGGTCTCACCACTTGAAGGCTGGCCCTGTCTTCCCAAAGAGGGACTCCCAGTAATGCACAGTTGAGCTCTTAATTATGTGCTGGGCACGGGGCTAAAACCTCTCCTTGAGTATCTTGCTGGTTTGTGTAATGGTCTTACAGCGTAGGCATTGCTCTGGTCACTTTATAGGTGAAGGCAGGCACCAAGAGGCTAAAGAACTCGCCTACAATGGCAAGGATTCTTTTATAAACCATTATCAGGATACCATTATCCACACCAAAAGAGTAACACTTTCCCTTAAAGTCCACTATCCGAACAGTTTTCAGAGTTTCCGGATAGTTTTGCAGATTGTTTTTACTTTTTTTAGTTGGTGATTTGCAAATAATCCGGTTGGTTTGTTTGCGGGAGCAGGAGTAAATTTTGCTCTATTTCAAAGAGTCTCAGCACAAATGGATTGTAAGTGTGGTAGTACTGGAATCGACACAGGGCAGCCTTGAATTAGAATATTCATCTATACACGGTGACTGAACAAAATGCGACATCCTGTCGTTGAAATGAAGCAAGAGTGCATTTATTGTCCTTTTCAAAAAAAAGTTTCCATTCCCAGCAAAAAAACAGAAACAAACAGCTTTCCCCAAAAGATCTCAGAAGCATCAGATCAGATGAGATTACTTGGAATTGAGGGAAGGGATCAGAGGAAAAATGCCCACCTAAGGTAGAAGAACTGGAAAATTTTGCACAAGAATGTGCTTACAAGCCAGCAGCGATGCCGGTGTCAAACTCTGTCTTTAAGATTGTGTTGAAAAAGCAAATAATATTGCAAATAGCCTCTTGTCTTTTGTTTAAAGATTTTATTTATTTGACGGAGAGAGAGACAGCGAGAGAGAGGGAACACAAGCAGGGGAAGTGGGAGAGGGAGAAGCAGGCTTCCCGCTGAGCAGGGAGCCCGATGCGGGACTCGATCCCAGGATCCTGGGACCATGACCTAAGCCGAAGGCAGATGCTTAACTGACTGAGCCACCCAGGGGCCCCTTGTTTTGCTTTTTAAACAAAGTTTGGCAAAGGAAATTTCCATAAGATGAAATAGCTGGTCAGCGGGCAGACCTAGGGCCAGGACTGAACTTGGGAGTTCCGTCCTTTTTTTCTTAGAGACTGTTGTGTTTCTATGACACCCAGTGAGAAAACATGAAATCTTATGCTTTGACTTTAATAGTTAATAATTAGGTTACGAGTGATAGTCATTTTCTTTTGCTGTAGCTAACACAAGAATAATTTTCCTCTGATTAATTCAAGTGAGACAAAGACTCTCAGACTTCTTAAAAAGTTCCAAGAATCGATTAATAAAAATCGCAGATCCATAGTTTGTATTGTACCTCCATGACCGTGAGAAGAAACAATTTCATAAAGAAAACTTGCAGGAATTTATACTTTTTAGCAAGCAGATGGTACCACGAATATTGCCAGGGTAACACTTATTAAATGAGGCAACCAATTAGAATGACAAATTTTTTCAAGGTTAGAAGTTAATATCCCAGTCAATCGTGACGCACTCTGAGGTTGTGATCTTACTGGACTCCTTGTTGGAAACAACATTGGCACGAGTAGATTTATGATGCAGAAGAAGAAATCTTGAGCTCTCTTTCAACTGGAAATCAGAAAGCCCTGTGGTTTCAAGGCTAAATACTGGCAGCACTGGGGAGTGAAAGGTGGGGGAGGGGGAGTGAAACGTGGCCAGTGCGGCTGACGCCTATTGACGCCTACATCGGAAGAGAGACAGGGGCAGAAAGATAATTTCAACAAGTGGAGTTTAGGCTATGTTATATTTTACGTCTTCCCTACAGAGAGGTGATAAGATTGCAGTGTAGTTATCATTTTTGACCGAATTTTGAAAAACATGCTGGGTTTTTGTTGGTTTATTTATAATCCTTGTGAAGAAAATGAGTAAGAATAGTTACAAAGAATCCCAGAAACATATAGCATTTGAGGTGTCGTCTCTTAATTTAGAAGACAGAATGTAGTTAAAAACAACAACACAAAGCACCCAGTTCTTAGGTAACTGGGGGTCTGGTTCTTTCCAGGCCCCAGTTTTCCAGGTGTTAAGTGAGGGCCCTCTGCGTCTCTTCTATTGTTATTTTACTTGTGTCTCCTGCTTTTGCACAGACTTTGTTTTCCAGAGTAGTTTCTGAAAACAACCTTATACTTCACTGAGTCTCATTCTCTGAGGATTAAGAAGCTGGGGCATTTGGAATGGAATGATGCTGGCAACAACTGCTCTGCACCTGTGGGCCGGGGTAGGGACCTGTGGGCCCGTTTGTGCACCTGGGAGTTTCCCATGAGCATGTGGTGTCCCTTGTGCACTTATTCTTACATTTTTCTGTCCCACTCCCAGAAGATTGTAGAGAAATGTCTGTTTAGCAGCTCTGAACAATAAATTAGTTTTTACAAGGAGAGTCTTTCCTTTAAGTTGAGTACAGGTTTGACTGGGTTGGAGGCAGCGTGTTTACAGATGATGGGAGCGGAGCAAATGAGGATTTTTCTCCCTTGGGTATTAGAGAGCTTGCATTCCTGGATTCTGAGGGGTAGTTGAATCCTGGCCTGTATACTTAAAACAGCTTAAATCAATTTAAGAAGGTTCAGTGTGGCTAGTTTTTGAAAAATCCTCCAAATCACTCAAAGAAATGCAAGCATTTAAAAGATATTGTAAAGATTGGGGGGTTGGTTGGTTGGTTTTTAAATCTAGCTGGCTCTCACTTTCAGGAATGAATGCCTTGGTTTCTATTTTTCTTTCATTTTTTGAAAACAATGCCATTTTTCTTCAGTCACAGATGAAAGAGTGGCTTGCATTGGTTAGGCACGACTTGACATGGGGATTAAATCAAACACGTGTCGGCAGACCAGAGGGCGATTTTAGGTAAATGAGAACGTGTAGCCTGCTCCCCGCCCGGGAGCCCGTGGTGCCGGTCCACGGCGACCCGCAGAGAGCAAGCCCTGGCCGCGCTGTGCCGGCCTCCTGGCCCTCTGGTGCTTGGCGTGCTCCACATGCCACGTCCTGGCTGTGCGTGTGCTGTGCGGGCAGTACTTGGATGGCTGCTTTGCGTTCGCCCCGGTAGAGAGGTGGGAGGCCTGCCGGCTTTCTACTCAGGTGAGTCTCTGACTTCCAGGCTACATTTGTGAAAGGAAGGACTTGCTGGTGAACGGCTGCTGTAACGTCAACGTCCCCGGCACCAAGCAGTACCGCTGTGACGGCTGCTTGCCCCACGGCTGCTGCGGCGCCTACGAGTACTGCGTGTCCTGCTGCCTGCAGCCCAGCAAGGTACAGACGGCAGCTGCCGACTCCAGGCCCCTTCTCTGTGCCCTTACTGGATGCTGAGCATCGGAGTCTCCGCGCGCGAGTCTCTGGAAGGGAGGGCTGAGACAGGGACTGTGTAGATGGCAGAAACTGCTGCTGTGAAGCAGTGCCCATGAGGAAGGGAGTCGTTCCCACTGATTGGGGTGGCTCGTTTGCAGGAGGGGCCCCTGGGTCCCCCATCAGCACTCTTGCGGATTGGGTATTAGGCTCTTGCTCATTTGAGCTTGCTCACTCCCTCTCTCTACCCCCCTCTTCCACATCAGCAGTCTCTTAGTTTAGGAGAAATATCCAAGGTTACCTTGTGCTGCTGAGTCTGGAATTTATTACAGGTACTAACTTTTGTTTCCATAGCAACTTCTCCTGGAGCGCTTCCTCAACCGGGCAGCCGTGGCGTTCCAGAACCTCTTCATGGCCGTCGAAGATCACTTTGAATTGTGTCTGGCCAAATGCAGGACCTCATCCCAGGTCAGAAAGCTGTGATGCCGCTAGCTGGCGGATGGGGGGGTAGGAGTCAGGGTCGAGAATAAACCCAAAAATAGGCAGTGGGGGCCTCTCGGTGGGGTAATAAGGGAGAAGGGATCCAAGCGACATGGTGTTGAGCTTTGTTTGGTGGAAGGATGGTATTTAGAATGTCAACGTGGATTTGTACACGCTAGGGAAGTAAAATATTTATATGAAATCAAGGTTTAATCAGCTTGCATCTCCCCTCTCTGACTGGCATGTCCGCACTTCAAGTGGAAGCTTACAATTATTTCTGAGTCTGGGTGGAGTCCTGAATGTCCAGTTCCTGAGAGCATTTCTCTCCCCCGTGTCTCTGACTGAAATGTGACTACAGCTTTCCAGCAACCACTTGTTTGGAGGAAGTGGTCGTTTGTTCTGGGACAGAGTTGTGGTTTATTTTAGGATTCAAGGGGATGGGGCAGGTGGGCATTTAAAAATACACGAATAAATCTGTGGGTGGTAAAGCTCCCAGTACTCACTAGCATGCTGTCTGTAAATGCTCTGTTCTTTGGGTGCTCGGCGCTGCCCCTGGCCCTACAGGCGTCCGCATGTCTGTGCCTTTGCATCACTGCACCCTCGGCTCTCCGCTTTTGTGGTCGGGTGGTTGTCCGGGCTCTCGATGTAAGATCGCCAGCCGTGTGTGGTGTCCGAGTTCGCTTCTCCTGGCTTCTGTTTGTGGTGTCTACGAGACTATACTGGTTTCGTCTGAGATAGCAGACTCGTTTGTCATTCTTTGTGACTCTTGTACCCTTTGCCAGGTTTCTGTAGACTGCCTTTTGATTTTATGCCGCTTTGTGTGTCTCTCGTCTGCTCTTAGAGCATTCAGGATCACTGGGTAAATATTTCAGGGATTATAATGAGCATTTGAAAACATGAAGAAATTCCTGATGGTCTTGTTTTCCTGGAAGAGCTTTCTACTTGAATGGGCTTTAAAGGAAATGTGGAGGAAGGCTGAACACATGACTCATTTTGATTCAGATTCTCTCTTATTCTGAGAAATTCTAGAAAAGGCGGAATATTTTCTTTCCTTAACTGATAAAACCCAGACCCTATTTCCAATCTTGAGGGAAGATGCTAACCTTTTTTTGACTTGATCTTTTTATTATAAAGAGAGAGTTCCCAGTTGCCAGTTTGTCTTGATTGCAGTATCCCCAAAAAAGATTTGCTGCGTGTCTATAAATTAGATTAATACTTATGATTTAGATGTTAATCATTGGTCTTGGGCTAATTAATGAACTCCAGACTAGCCAAAAACTCAAGTTGCCTGTATGAAAACAAATTGCTGAAAAATTAGCCGTCAGGGATGATTGTCTGTGTTAAATCCACTTTCCATTTATTTAGCCAAATGAGGCTTGTGTGGTATTGTGGGATTTGGCTCGTGTACCAGACCTTGAGGTACATAAAACTTCAGGAAAGCGCCTGGACGTGGCATCTCCTTCGTCTCTGCCAGGGTTCAGTACCAGGAACTGAATTTCCTTGGAGCACAGAAGTCAGGAGCAAAACACCTGCTGGATCTTAAACTAACTTAGCATCATCTGGGAAAAAAATAGTTGTCTTGAGTTGCTAGGTTGTTTTAAAAAACAAACAAAACTCACTGTTGACGGAGGAAGAAACGTGCATGTGGTGATGTTCTGTCCGTTTTCATGCTTTTCATTGGCATTCTGTATTGAGCATGTACCTTTGTTTCAGAGCAGTGCCTGGATTCTTTTGGTGGCATTTGGAGATGGCCTCGTGTAGGCTTCTGCAGGGAGTCCCTGCCCACGGCCCCGCTCTGGCCTCCACTGTCCCATAAGGGAGGTGTGTGAGACTCTGCTCTCTCTCATGGCACTCTTATCTTCCCTTTTGCCAACAGAGCGTGCAGCACGAGAACACCTATAGGGACCCCATAGCCAAGTACTGCTATGGAGAGAGCCCTCCCGAGCTCTTCCCCGCGTGATGCGCACAGAAGGCAGACCAGGCACCACCGGAGAGCTTGTGGTCTGAAGCCACCCTCCAGCGTTCTCTAGTCCGCTTGGAAGAAGAGAGGCATCGCGCGGGAGCCTCGGCTTTGACCACTTCTTGTGTTGTAGTCTGTGGCCTCGCTCTCCACTGGGCTTTACCCTGTGAAACTGTTCTGTAAAGCAGCTTGGAAACACCAGCAGGTCATGTTCAAGAACAAACTACAGGCGAGTTTGTGGAGGTGTTGGCGCTCTGGGGCACCTCTCCCGTGGCAGACTCATCGAACCCTTCCCTGTAAAGTTATTTATTGGATTTCTCTGGAGTAGTGGGAAAATGATAATGTTTTATATAGGAAGATGCCTTGCCTTGATAGTTGAATATATTCAAGGAAATTGTTGTTGTTCTTGTTTTCTTGTATTCTTGAGTTTTATGAGTTAAGTCATCCCTTCACCCGGATAAAACATTTGGCCTCTTTGAATGTGCGTGTTCTCTCAAGGTAGTTATTTGGGTTTTGTTTTAACAGCACCTTCAGGAGTGGGCCCTGGACACTGTATCCTGACATCTAAAATTGTCAACAACTCAGAGCTACTCTTCCCCATACCGGCTTCCCTGCAGGGGGCACCAGGCGCCCTCAGCTTTTCTCGTAGTGGTATTTGAATATGCTTTCATACCTGCGTGTGAGCACTGTTTGAACCAGAAATTCCAACTCACTCTTCTGGAGGATTTTGTTCTCATTTCCCATGCCACTGTTGATATGATTGCAGTCTGCTCAGCCGTGGTACGCTGGGAGCCTCAGGAACGTCGCCAGCAGCCTCCTCTCCTCTCCTGTCATGGAAAACTGGTGTTAAGGGGATTCCTAAGTGGAGATACATCTAGCAACTGGCTGTGAGCAGTCATCCTTCATCGTTTCCAGCTTCAGGACATGTAACAGGTTCAGACCTTCAGTTTCCTTATGATCTGCAAAGAAGAAGAAAACCCAAGTTTCTGTCAAGGTTCTGTGAGAGTTACCCATGCCCTCAGTGGGGCGAGTCCGTGAAGGCCTGGTGTGCTGGTTGCTGGTCCACGTGCTCGAGGTGCTCCCCACTGGCTTTCTAGTATGACACTGAATCTCGCAGGCTCAGCGTCGAGAGTATTTGGTCCTCCTGTCAAGACATCCTGGCCCTCAAATTGTATGGCTCTTTGCTCTAGTATGGGAGACATGGGCGTACAGCTCTTTCCTGGAGCGAGCCTCTCACTAGCCCCCAGGATTGGGCAGGGTCTTTTTCATTTTTTGATTGTTGAAGCTGTTGACCTTGGAGTGGGGCAGTAGTTTTACAATCCACTTTTGACATGTTTTTCAGAAGGGCTTTTTCTTTGGACCATGTTTGCCTTCCAGTATGTTTCTGCATTATGTAGCAATAATTCCCCTTAACTTTCTCCTATTACTTCTTCAACTTCTCTTCCCAAAGTGGTTTGTCCCCCTGAATAAGCTTTCTCCAAGGGCTAACTGGCAATTATTTTTAATGTTTTTCCCCCCCAAAATCTATTTAGTTTGCATTGGACTTTTTGGATTCTATGTGCATTCACGGTGCTAAATCAAACTTTGTATGTGAAAGAAATGTGCATGTCCGGATGTTTTACCATCTCATTCTTTTTGGTAACTCAGTCTGGTGTATGTCCGTTTCATGTGGGTTGTCACTGGTGTCAGCCTCTCCTTGGAGCTCATTTGAACTTTTGAACAATGTAACAGATTTAATGTGAAAATGACTTTATATCAAAGACTAGCGCCTGCCTCTTTACTTCGTACTTGAATTATTGACGAGCACGTTCTGCACTTTTCAGTGCTTTCACAAACAGCTCACTTGTATTACCACCTTGTAGATGAGGAAGTAGTGAGAGGTAAAGTGACTTCCCAGAGTCCCCACTGAGGTTTAACAACAGAACCAAAGCAAGAACTTCATCTCTGGCTTCAGGTCCGCTGTCCTTCCCACCGCCTCTCCCCAGCCCCGCTGCTGACTCATCCGTAATCATCCCCCCAAGAACGTATAGATTTCAGTTGTCCAGGCCAAAAGAGCGGAGAGGTGGCATCAATAGCCAAATTGGGTTGATAATTCAAAGGTCATTTTCATTTGGCTCTGGAATATGTGTTTGTGGGGTTTTTTGTTTTGTTTTTGTTTATTTACTTAAGTCAATTTAGAGGCGTGTTCACGTTTTGGAAGCTCACAGTGCTGCAGACTACATAATAAAGCCACTGACGGACCTGGACCATCGCTCGACCTCCCCAGCCTTCCAACCCAGAACCCCTCCCTGCTCTGCACTCTCTGGGTTGTTTCTGGTTTCCTCAACTGAGCGTTTCTAGAATTAGGGACCTCATCTTGGTTGTGCGTGCCCAGAGTTTAGCAAAGTGTGTGATACATACTGGGATTTTAGGGAAAGATCAAAGAAGGGACGAAAAAAAAGGTTGACAAATACGGAGTGTTTGGGGCTAAAGGTAAGAGGGTGATTCAAAGTATTTCCACCAATTCTCAATCTTAATTTCCTTGCTTGTTGCTGGAGTGATAAAGATCTGTCCTAACAGGAAAGAAACAGCAGAGTATGCGAGAGGTACTGGGGCGGGCAGGCACACAGGAGGGGGGACCTGCCTCTATTGGGCCTGGGACTCGGGGTGGCCCTAGGCCCGGTGATGCAGGGCTGGCATGGAAGGGCGAGCTTGGCAGTGCTTGGAAAGTGGGGGATAGAATTTTAGAGCAGGGTTTTCAGCTGTCAGCATGCTCCTGAAAGCTGACTTGGGGCCTCTGGGAAGTGCCTCAGTTGGTGTGGCTACAAAGGAGCTATGGGGACGGGTAGCACAGTCTGCAAGATTCCGAGCAAAACTTTTCCCATCATTGACATTTGCAGATAAATTGTAAATATGTAGAGGTGTTGCTTATTTGGTCTTGGTTATTCCCTCGAAGGCAGCAGAGAATTCGGCTTCGTGGTGAGTAACTACTTTTGAACAGCGTGGCTTTGGGCAGTCTTCTCTTCCACGTCCCACGGATCCCGTGGCTTGTGGGGCGTCCTCAGGAGTGAAGCCTCGTGCTCAGCACCGAGTCCGCTGTCTGCAGCCCAGTGGGGGGGGGGGTGTCAGGTAGTGACAACATGGGGGTCAGTGGGCCCCTCACTTGGAAGGATGGCAAATACAGAACTCAGTATTATTTTTATGACTTTTTTAAAGAACTCATGCTAAAGATGAAAATTTTCAGATAATTCAGGAATATGTAAAGATGAAAATAATAATAACCTAAAATCCCACAACCCAGAGATCAGCCCCCATATTTTTTCTCTTCCCTCATGACTTTCCAGGCAGAAAGGAGAGCACTTTTTCCTCTTGAAAACAATCCTGTAATGGACATCCTTCTAGGTTACATATAGGCCTATAATAATTTTAATGACCATATGGTATCAATTTCATGGATTACAATAATGTTATTAATCCCCTGCTGAGGACACTGCTTATTACCATTTTTTTTTTTGCTGCTACAAACAATGCATTCATGATATGCTTTTATATGCATGGTTGTCTATTTATCTAATAACTGTTTCCACCAATTTTTTGCTCTCACCTAAAGAGTGTGGGAATGTCTTTTTTGCCCTGCCCCTGAGAACCTGCACGCCATCATTTGTCAACTCTGCTCATCGATCTCGGTGTTTTAATTTGTATTAATTGCTGCTGAGGTGAACTCTTCCGTGTTCTGATTGGCCATTTATTTATCATCCAAATATCCCTGACCTTGGCCAACCTAGCTCCCTTTTTCTTGGCATTTTTGAATAAAAGGAAGCCCTGTGTTACTCCAAAGCAAGTAGCAACTTTTCTAGTTGACCTAGGGCATCAAAAGGGGGCAGTTTTGTCCCCAGAGGACCTTCAGCAATGTCTGGAGACGTTTTTGTCAAAACTGGGGGAGGGTGGTGCATCTAGTGGGCTGAGGCCAGGGACGCTGCTAAACATCCTTCTGTGCACAGGGTGGCCCCCACGACAGGATGACCTGGCTCCAGATGTCAGCAGGGCCTAGGTGGAGGCCCGAGCCTCGGGTCACATTTCCCCCCTTTGGTTGAACAGAAGAGCTGCCAGGAGCTGTGAGCTGACTTTATTATTTCCCTGCCCTTGCTTTCAGCCGCGCTGAGTGCTGCTGATTCAATTACCCTGGAATCCCCGGGGACCAGCTACTTCCTCGCAGGTCTCTCCCAGCTCAGTGCTGCCTCCAGGAATGACATTATTACTCTGCCACGCTGTCCTTAGCACACTAACGTGATCCCAGAGCAGATGCCCTCCTGGCTGCAGAATGACCTGGAAGTTTACCCACAGCCCCCTCCCCACCATGACAGATTTGCTCTCCTGGTCCACCCCCCGCCCCCAACAGCTCTTTGCATGGAGTGACTCTGGGGGAGAGGGAGATGGGAAATGCTGCTATCAAAAGGTGCCACACAAGTATATAATAATTTTTATATTTTTTAAGATTTTATTTATCTGACGGCACAAGCCGGCGGAGCGGCAGGCAGAGGGAGAGGGAGAAGCAGGCTCCCCACTGAGCAGGGAGCCCGATGCGGGACTTGATCCCAGGACCCTGGGATCATGACCTGAGCCGAAGGCTGATGCTTGACCGACTGAGCCACCCAGGCGTCCCTATAATAATAATTTTTAAAAAAAGGAGAGAAGCCAGTGGATTATGAGAGTTCTTTCCTACACGAGTGCTTTCCTGACTTCGGCTCGTCTCCCTGCACTACCTTCTAGGCCCTTCTGTGTGGATTCGTCTTGCATAGGGTGTTACCAGGCTGTGGGTGCAGTTTTGGGTGCTGCTCTCCCTGCTCTTGCTCAGTCACGCATCTGCTGCCAGGTTCCTCGTGCAGTCTGCTTCCACAGACACGGAGAGGAACCGGGGCACAGGCAGTGTGTCCTTGGAGGGGGACAGCGCCTGGCCTGGTGGGATCACTTATCTTGTATGTACAACTTGATTCACGTCTGATGGTGGATCTGAACTGCTGGGCATTCTAAAAATGAGAGGACAGCCTTTAATATGATAATAAACAAAACTGGCTGGTTACAGCCAAGAGACAAAGCAAGGAATTAAATATTTGAACAGGGGTCCAGTTTTCTTGTTTTTCAGAACTGCGTTGCTGTGGACTCAGAGGGACCAGAACGTACGACTGCTAGAAATGCATTGTTTATAAGTGGGCACTTTCAAAGTTGTTGTAGGATAAATAGTCCCTTGGTCTTTGGACTTACTTTATTTATTTTTATTTAAATTCAATTAGCCAACATATAGTTGGCTAACCATTAGTTTCGTGTTCAGTAATTCATCAGTTGTGTATAACACCCAGGGCTCATCACATCATGTGCCC